CGCCGCCCTGCGCCCCGCCGTGTGCCCTGCCCCGCGTGCGCAGGCGATTGCAAAGCAGCGAGGCGCGTGCGAGGGGCGAGGCGGTGGCCTTCCAAGCCCCAAATGTCCTGGAGAACCAGAGGCCCAAGACGGCGACATCCTGAGGCAGTCGGGGTGGCGCGGGGCCGCCTGTCCCAGCTGAGCTCAGACGTCGATTCTGGGGGAGCGGGGCGGAGCCAGTGGGCGGGCTGGGCTGGGGGGCAGTTTATTTATTAGCCAGATTAGCCAGCATTAATGGGGAGCGGTGGTGGCCGGCGGCGGCGGGGACATAGCTGGCATAGCTGGCATAGCGGCGGGGCCTCCCGCAGCGCGGGGCTCTGTGGCTTCAAAGGGGCTTAAAGAGGCCCGTGGTGGCACTGCCACGGCCCCGCGGGGGAGGGCGTGGACGCGGGCGGCGGGGAGAAGGCGGCCTTTGTGCGCCGAGGGATTAGGGACCCGGCCTGGAAGGAATTTTAAACTGCGGCGAGCCGGAGCCCCGGGGCTCTCCTCCTGCCCAACCCCTGCCCTCCCCAGCACGCCCAGGGGTTTACCTGCCTCCCCGCGTCAGGGTGGAGGGGTGTCCTCCCTTCCCCCTCCACTGGAGGCCCCCAGGGTCGCCGACCTGGCGAATGCAAACACAGGACGTCCAGTTAAATGACATGATTTCTTTTTTTACTGTAAGGATGTCCCAGATATTGTAGGGGGCAAACTCATACTAAAATATGATTCGTTGTTTGAGATTCACTTTCACTGGACCTCTTGAATGTGTATATTTTTTCTGGCAGCCCTGGAAGCGGGGCAATGCCTCATCCGTGTATGGAAACCGATTGGGCCTCCCGACCCTCCAGTGGGTACCTCTCATTTGAGAGACCCCTGAGGACAGGGGTCTCTGCCCTGAGCTGGGCGTTTCCTGGACCAGTGGAGCTCTGAGGACGGTGCTGTCTCCTTCATCAGACTAGGAGTTTCCTGAGGACAGGGGCTGAATTTCACCCATCAGACTAGAGCTCCCAGGCCGGTGTCTGTGTCTCCTTCAGCGCCCTGGGGCTCGCTGAGGCCGGGTCTGTGTCTCCCTCCCCCCAACCCCTGTCCCACGCTACCCCACGCTGGCTGTGGCGCCTCCCCATTATGTTGCCTCCCGCCCATAGGGGGCGCGAGGGGCCCAGCGGAGGGACCTACTAACAGCCGCACCCTGTTTCTTAGGACTGGGCTGCGGTCCTCTGCGAGGAATGCACCTGGGAACTTGGTGGGGGGTCCCCATCCTGTGAGGCTCCTGACCTGGTCCCGGCCCTTGCTCAGGCAACTGAGGACCGGTCCGTCTGGGCCAGAGGCTGGGGCCAACATGTGGGTAAAGCTCTGGTTGCTGGGTTACCCTGCTTCTAAGGGACGGCAGGGCTCTGGTGCAGAAAGTCCTGCCCACTCCTCTGGTGGCAGCCCAGCCCTTATCCTCCGCCAGCCTCACCAGCCTCACCAGCCCTCCTGCCCAGCCTCTGCTCATGCTCTTTCTGCCCGAACAACCCCTGCCCTGTCTTTGAGGACAGAAGTCGTCTGTGCTTCTTCTGGGGACTCTGGCCATTAGCAAGGTGGGCCGCTTGTGCCTAGGGGTCTTCTGGTGAAAAGAATCCTCCATCTACACCCTGATTCCTCACCAACTTTGGCCCACAGGGGCTAAAGCGGGGTCTAAAGGAGGAGGTTAAGGTGGGAGAGGTGAGAGATGAGAAGGTGGGGAGGGGGGAGCATAGGCAGAGGGGGAGCAAGAAAAGGAACGCTTTGCCCCCCTGAAGACCCGTCCCAAATCCCCTCATCCCCTGGGGCCCCTGAACTCTTTTCCCTTGAAGCTGAGGGAAGCCCTGGAGAAACCCTTTCCCACGGTCACAGTCTCGACAAACCCCTACCCCCTTCTTTGACTACAGCCATCTCAGCCTCACCCTTTGCAGAGGGCAGGTCCGCCCCATCGCCCCCTCCTGGGGCCAGGGCGCCTGCTTCCACCAGTGGCATCATCACCCCACTCCTCGGGCCACCATTCATCAGGTCGGCAATTAGCTACTTCCTCTCAGTGGCATGAGGCCACTGAACGTCACAGTCCCTCCCCCAGCCAGTTCAGCCAGCAGAATGCTGGGGGTGCTCCCCCTTTGTAGTCAGTGCCAAGTCCTGGCTCAATCTCCCTTCCCCACAACCTACTGAGTGCTCGGTAATGAGCCTCCTGTCTAGGGAGCTGAAAGCCAGCGGCTGCCTCTGTCACCCCATCTCCTTGGGTGAGGACACGTCCGCTGCCTGGATCTGGTGATGCCTGCTCAAAGGTACTGGCTGCCCAGATGAGGCTTGGGACTCAGAGGTCTCTGTTCGCAGTCACAGGCAGTTTTTACCAGGCCCTTCCCTGGGGCCCAGAAGTCTCAACTGAGGATGATGGCAGATACCTGGGAAAGGGGAGAAATGCGACCCCCAAACGTGCACCCACACGGGCTCATACATTTGTACCTAGGCACACATAGATACAACCTGTACCATGTGGGTCCTAGGGCAGTTGTACCCGCATGCTTCCCTGGTGGTGAGTAAACCCACTTGAAGGTGTACCCTCACCCCCTCTTCCATGTGTGTGCATGAAAACCCACCCCCATGTGGTACCCCCCAAAGATGGTGAGCTCAATGCCACCCCAAACCCCAAACCAGGACCCCACCACATCCTAGGAGGCTGAGAGGGGAGGGGAGATTACCCCAACATCCCCTACCCCATGGACTGGGGAATCTTCCTGGGCAAGGACAGGAGGAAAATTACACTTCAAGGGCGAATGAGGGGTGGGAAAGTGGGCCGTGGGGGGAGCAGCGGTGGTCCGAGTCTGGGGTGGGGGTGGAGGAAGTGGATCTCCAGAGAGAATTTTAACATTCAATAAATGTAAACAAATGTGTGTGATCTTAGGCACCTTGCTCAACTTCCAGGACCTCAATGATTGCATCTGTCAAATGGGGATAATGTGAACAACACATAAACATAGCTGTCAAGTTTGAATGAGATAAGCTGGCTCAGAGCAGACCCGAGCTGACATTACTCTTGGAGGAGCCTCCCAATGTCCTGTCACCTGCTGGTGGATTTTCCCTAGAGCCACCTTCCCTAACTGATCATGTGCTCCTATCTCTCTTTCATTGGTTCCCGTCCTAGACAAGGACAGAGGTTGAGAGGCATGACAGGTTGTAGGGGGTGTGACTGGGTGCTACACCTGATTGGCTTGGGGGTGGGACCGGGGAGGGGCTGACATCCTGCCCCACCCTCACCTGGCTGGCGTGACAGGTAATGAGTGCCAACTTCTAGCCCTGGGAGGGGATGAGTCAGCCAGCGCCTCCCTGTCCAGGCAAACGGGGTGCAAGGGACAGGAGCTTGGGTGGAGGGGCCTTCTAGGAATGTTCTTGGAAGGGACCTGGGAGCGGGCACTACTGTGGGGAGCCACTCCTGGGCCTACCAGCCTGCGCTCCAGCTCTGCAAACACCCTTGTCCTGGTTTCTCAGAGCCAGCCCCACCGGCTAGCCTTCCAGATTTGTGAGGCAAGGCCTGCCCGCTCACTGACTGGTCCAGGCTCCTCTTCAATCTGCTGCCCTATCTTGCCTTGCCACCCTTCTCAGGGTCTCCAAGCCATTGACAAAGAGGCACATACACATGCATGCTTGTGTACAAATGCCACAGCCACACAAGCACAACTAGCAGCACCATCGTAGACACGACAAGTATACAACATGCTTATATGCCCTGATACCACCCACACAGGTGCACGTGCGTGCTCGCACACACACGCGCAGTCGTAATCACTGTGGTTGGTTGAATTGTGTTCCCTTCAAAAGACATTTGGAATTCTACCTCCTACTACCTGGGAATGCGACCTTAGTTGGAAATAAGGTCTTTGTAGATATAATCAAGCTAAGATGAGATCTCACTGGATGAGGGTGAGCCCTAAGCCCATGACTGATGTCCTTATAAGGAAGAGAAATTTAGAGTCAGAGACATGGAGACGCGCAGAGAAGGCCATGTGATGATGGAAGCAGAGATTGGAGCGGTGCAGCTACAAGCCAAGTAATGCTAAGGATTGCTGGCAGCCATCAGAAACTAGGAGAGAGGCACGGAACAGACTCTCTGTCAGAACCTCCGGAAGGAACAGACCCTGCCAGCACCTTGACTTCAGACTTCTGGCCTCCTCGCTGTGAGAGAATGCATTCTGTTGTTTTAAGCTGTTGAGTCACTGAGTCTGTGGTAATGTGTTTATGGCAGCCCTGGGGAGCACACAAAGACACACACACACACACACGCACACACACCACACACATACACACACACACACCCACACACACACATGATTGGCTCCAGCCTCAGTGATGAGGTGGGTAGAGTTGCCATTGGGGGCTGTCTCTGTCCTCCTTCCCTTGTGACTGGTCCAGGGAGATCTACAAAGCTCATGGCTCAAGCAAGAGCTCGGTCATTCTTAATCCCTCCTTTCCTTCCTGGAGTTCTTAACCATATGTACCCCTCAAAACCTGCTCTCAAGAATGGCTTGCGTGTTTATGTGCACCAGAAAATGTGTGCAAGAATGCTGTGGTTGCTTTAATCAGATTAATTAAAAACTGGAAATGACCCAAATGTCCCAGAACAGGTAAATACATCGTGGCACATTCACTCAATGAAATACTACTCAGCAGG